CATTCATCTTCAAGAACCGATGAAAACATCGGCAGAATCCGGGATCAAGAACAACTGCAAGTTACCTCACGATAACACTTGTGACACAGCAATGTCAATAAAGGAGTTTTTGGTCTGTAAAGGCATTCCTGTGGCTCTTCAGCCTCCTTATTCGCCTGATTTGAGTCCCTGTCACTTCTCTCTCTCCCCGAAGTTGAAAAATTACCTCAAGGGAACTAATTTTGAGAGACTCTAAAATATTCAAAGAGCTGTACCCGAACCAGCTGAAAGCTGTATCGGCGTTCCAGCACTGCTATGAGGAGTGGAAGAACCGTCTCTAGGGCTGTGTGGCTTCAGAAGGAAGTTATTCTGAGGGTAACAACATAAACTTGTTTTATACTCCAACTACTAGGAAGGAGTAAGGCCTAGACGCCCATGGGGTACCGTGGGGCTATAGGGGAAAGGGGAAGGGTGATTATATCTGAATAAAAAAACTATAAGACATCAGTCTCATCACTGTATTCACAGACCTCTTTTTGAAAATGGGTGAATTTTTGGACAAAGATGCCAAAATTTCACAGTTTTCAAACAATCAAGTGTTAGAATAAAAAGAATGTTCACAATAAATAATATTCTAAAATATTTAAATGCAAAAATTCCATGAACGCATTAACTTAAAACTTAATCTTTACCGTTGATGCTATTACAGATGCAGATGCAAACTATGCGTACATGAACTGCCTTAGAAGTCGTTTTCAGTTGTTTTTATAGGTTGCTCATTTAACCAAACTTTATGGAAATGTACGTATACTCTTTCCACAGTTGCTAAAAGATTCATGTATAATTATTTCCTACAAATATTCTGACCATAATTTTTGATACCCGCAGACTATTAAAAAGATCCTACCAGATATTAGCTATAATTTTCCTGAAATTTAAATGAAACGGAAATCGTAAAATTCTATTAAAGAATATGCATGAGGTAGAAGCGCCAAAGTTTCTAGACATGACGGCTTTTGCTAATGGGCAGAGTACAATGTATCACCTCAACTTCTGATAATTTATTCGGATATCATATAAAGTCTAGATGTTCATTTTTATGGAAATGATACACAAGTGGAGTACAAATGGAGTAAAAAAACAGAATTACAAGACAATGCTGACATAGGATCAGATCACATAACAGTTTGAATTATCCGATAAACTCATGCTTCGAAGTACAGCTTATAACTAAGTTCGTTAACAGAGGAAGATGCAAAACTGGGGTAATTTTGACTAACATATATCATAACCATCAAATACAAACAAATATGTTGACAATGGTACAGTATATTGCTGCCAGCTTTGCGAGCCACATTACCGCAGAATTGTATGGGAATTCAAGCGCATTTATGGAGGTAGATACTCCTTGACCACTAAGACGACTTCGTTGCAACAAACCCAACAATCACGCCAAGAGTACAGTTTATTGTCAGCAACAGATATCTGTTTGTTGAGATGGCAGTCAAAATTATATTCGAACGTAAAATTAAACGAATTTGTGACAGGCTGGGTGTAGGCAACCCTAGTTTACAGTTTACGTTTTTCTCTGTTAACAAATTTTGATACACCAATCCGAAAATACCTTTGAGGTCAAGGGTACCTATAGACAAGACGCTAAAAGAATAATTAACTTTGACAGAAAATCCCTAATTTTAAGCTGAATACATGCAGTTAGAGTAGTTAGAGTACTTACAAGTCCATATATGTATTTTTAATTGTAATATTAACACTTCGGTGGTTCACGTCAAGAAATGAGGGGTAGAATAACTAAGAGACGATATGTGTAATTCTCTCGTGCGGGGAACTGTATTGTTTTCATTAATAGAAGGATCGGCATTATCTGGAGAGAAAGTGCGGAAGTCTCGCTGTCGTCCATCAATCCCACCTCTAAAGAATTTAACTGGTGAAACGTTTTGCCGGGAATGGATGTATTCACAAACATTACATCAGCTGTCAGAAACTCATCATTGAGTTCTTGGGGATTAAGTGCTGTTTGAGAAATGACCTCTCTTTGGATTTGAAACAAGCACGCGCTCCATTGAGAAACGTTCAAGAGAGGATTTATATCTACACTTCACAGTAGTCTGTGACATTTGTCACAAGCTTTCACACAGTTTTGCTCGATTTTTTACATTTTAGAAATTACAAAACTACCAAAGGTTTAAACATATTCAGATTTTCAAAACTTTAAAAATTCTTAACAATAATTTCAAAATTGGCATGATCTTCAAAATTTTAAATCTTCAAAATTATCAAACTTTCCAATGTTCAATGTAATTAAAAATTTTAGAACCTTTTAATTTTCCACAATTTCAAAAACCCAAAGCTTTGAGAGTTCGTCAAACTGCACACAATCCTCAAGATCCGTCTATAAATGTGATCCTATAAAACTTTAATCACACATGTCCAATTATGAAAACCATGATATCGCGTCCTGTTTCATATCCCAACCATGCCTCCCAATATCTACTGCGTCCTGCTCCTGCGGGATCGGCACATCGTCTGCTTGATAATCTGGAACGGACGATGGAAGAACGCAGGCTACAATCTATCGGTAGCGACATCTGTCGGATACAGAGCAGATTTCACGGGTCGCCAGAGGGTGGCGCACCAGATACATTCCAGGAGAAAAGTGGGATTCTTTCGGGAAGTAGAGAGAGGCGAGCAAGGGCGTACCTGGAGTTTTGTACGGAGGAATATAGGCTCGGATTTGAGGGAGCACATAGGGTGTACTTACAGTTGGGTTATAGCGTATTCATATATAAGTAAACGAGCAAGTTTCCTAGTAACGCGTGATACCAAAAGCTGAATACATCCGAGATACTAAGTTAAGAAAAAATATGAATGGGTCAGCCTGGCTCAGCATCCAAGGACACCGTGCATCAGTATCCGAAGTAGACGCCGCGCGGTGTGTAGATAAACCTAGCTACAAATCGGATTTGAGAATCCGAAATCGGCACAATTCTACTTTAATAATGATGAATGCTATTGATACTCCGTGAGTCTATTCAGACCGTTGTCTCGGATATTTTCATCCAGAGCTACGTAGATTTGTTTATATCGGGCCGTCGAGGTGGACACAGTCAGTAGAAGATCAAGATAGCCTCAAATGTTGCAAACTTAGGAACAGTAAAAACTTGCATTTTTGAGTCGATTGGCGACAACTTGAAGCAGTATTTAAGAACAAAACGTGTGATAGGGCTATACTTGAGATTTCTTTCAAATGACCTCGTCTCAACTTCTTTTCTGCGTTATTGCTGCTGTACTACGGCAAATTATCTCTGTTATTTCAAATGTAGTTGTTTTAGAAAAGAATTATCTAAACTTTCAGAGGACCCCGTATAGTGGCTGGCGGATTCTTGGTCTCTGTTAACTCTTATCCCAGACTTTAGGAACAAACATTATATTTTTGTTCTCCGTGCATATAAATAAAGAGACATGGCGTTAATTTAAGACGCCAAATTAGAATACGGCGATCAAGAAATCTTGAAATATCGCGCAACTCCGTTCGGGAAAGACAAATAGGCCTTTTGGGGCCTCTCATAAATATCGAAGGAAAACTGGCATCATCTACACACCCGATTTACCCAAGAAACTTTGCTTAAATGAAAATACTTCACAAGTTTTGAAAATGCGTGGATTAAAAGTTGAAACGCCGTACTTACTTTTTCTTGATATGGTGCTTCCACTGGAGCTTCTCAATATAAATGTAGTGCGTTTGACGCCAATGGTATGATGGTGCCGTTAACGCTCATTTGAGGAGGACTTGTTAATTTTAGATTTGTAAAGCGAACCTGGACCTCTATTCTTGAGTTTGAGGGAGTATAAATTGTGAGAGAAAGTGGCAAAAAGTGGGTGTGGTCAAGAAATGTAGTATTCTTGAAATCAATTCTACCGAAAAGTGATAGAAATGAATTCACTCTAGGGATTCGCGATTTCTATTGGTACCGACCAAGAGAAACTGGAAAAATTAGTAGAAAATAGCGCCATATCACCTAAAAATTGACGTGTTTGGCATTGTTATTGTGGTTCCTGCTAAACATATTGTGAAAAATGGATAAGATCATTTCAATCAATTGATGCATTGGAACGATATTATTAACGAGCATGTAGAGGAGGCATTTGAGGAATGGGAGATTGGGAAAGATATTCTTGGGCACCGAGATCCTTTCATAATTTCGGTTCGAACATTTGTACAGATGTTTAGGTCCACCAAAGATTTGGTGTATGATTTGCTGGAGATATTGACTCCATTCATAATAACAACCACCCCCACGAGCTTCGGCACTTTCGATCAAAACAAAGGCAAGAGTAGATATTAAGTTTTAGTCATTCTAAAACAGTATCCTTTAACCTATGATTGAATTTTCCCTGGTGCATTCGGGGGTGCTCTCGGAGAAATTCAATCATTTTGTCTTTTTTTTAATTGTAACGTGTTTTTAAAGTTTTCGGCTCCATAGAGGAAATCTTGACCAAAATCATTGGTTACTTTTTGCCTGTCAAAACTCTCCCCTTTGATTGGTTTAACACGTTTACCCAAACCTGGCAACCCTGTGCCTTGATTTCCTTTCTCCTCTCTATAGAGTCTTTTCTAGAATACTATTTTCAAATCGATAGAAAACCGGGTGAGTAGAAAAAGAGAGGCAGTGTGATTTTCTATTATGAAGGTCTTATTTGAAATACATAATTTCCTCGACACATTTTCTTTAAAGTAGAACGCTTATTTTATTAATAAATCCTTCATACCAAACTGCATTACAAAATTATTTCCTCTCTAGAACCGATTTTGTTATGTCTGTGATGCGATGCACTTTATTTGAAGAAAAAAGACAGGCCTTACTATATTGTATACCTCTCAGTTCAGTATTGCAGGCTGGAAGTATACAATTGGGATCAGAGGTATAGATATATTGTAATAATGGCAGTTCTCAGTTTGTATCGTGTTTCACCTTTACCTGCTAGATAAAGGTAACCAGAGGCCGTGGAATTGGCCTTGCGTTGAGGTAAGTTTCTAATATCCTAGATTCGGTAAAAGTCTAGGGCAGGAATCGAGAGGTAAAGTCCAGTATTATTTCATCATACTAACATACCTAATGATCGGCCTTAAAAGGTAAGTTCTGAATTGTGCGTGTAGCTCACCTGAAACAAAAAAGAACATTTTAGTACAACTTGGGTTTATCAATATTTACCTCACAGAACAGAGCAAAAGCAAATAATGGATCCTTGATCCATATCCATTATAGACTTGTCAAAATTGTGAAAAGTGAAACAAAAATCGCACCTTCGTAATAGCATGTCGCCCTTTTACGTCATCTAAATACGGCAATACAAGTCCTAAGCTATAGAAATACGGACATACCTAACTGGTTTGTCGAAAAGTTTGACAGCCCAAGCAGCGCGATGGTGTTTTGGCAGACGCTGTCTGCCCTCTCTAGCCTAGTTGCAGTGAGTTCAAAGAGAACTTTTCTCTTAGCTACGGATATTGTGATTGTTCGTAGGTAGTGGACCATCTCAGACTGTCGAGCGTGGAGGTACTACTCAGCCGGTCTCTAAGGTGAGGCCAGAATTTGTCTTATGCACACATACGTTCCCGCTGTACCCCCCTTAGTACCACGGTATCCTCGGGTATTTAGGCATTAGGCGTGCCTGGTGGCACAAGTATAAAAAACGCATATACCCTGTTTAAATAGACTGAGCACTAGATTTTGTGTTCAAAATGCGTCACTACCGAGAAATCTACGTTTTAGAGCGTTGTATTAGCGCGTAAACCAAAGTATGGGAAAATACAGATTTGGGTACTTCATTTTCTATAGACCTGCGAATTTCGTGAGCAGCTAATCCTAGGGTAAACAGCAACAGGATAGGAAATTAAAGTTTTCTGCACATTACACACGCTGCTTACCATTTCAGCGCTTTCAATAAACTGCTGTGTAATATTGAAATACCTTTCGGCTATAAGCAGGCAGTAGGCGGCTTCCTTCCCGTATCGTCGGGGCAAACAAATGAAACCTGCTCTCTAATTTTACCGAACAAAACAAGCACGGATTTTAGAGTACAGAGGTAGTAAGGTATCTCCTCTCGGTTACTACAAATATTAAAGCATGGTAAATATTTGAACCCGATGTTTCGTAGTATGAGCGGTGCTTCATGTGTATCTGAATACATTTCCAAGAATAAGTTTGCAACTTCTGGAACTTATTTTCTGACTGTTTTGATGATTTCTATCCCTCTTTCTGATTGGATATTACAGAGTCACAAGGTTTACATGTCTTACTACTTCAAGAAAAAATTTAGCTAGTGATAGTTACTAGGCTAAATATACTCAGTGACATTAGAAGTGTTACTCCCAGAAAAAATAATTTATTCATCTTGTTTTTTTCGGCTACATAATGACTATATTTGAAGCATGCTGTGGCAAGTATGTCAACGTTTTACCTTTGTTTTTGTTTGCCTATTTTGAAATGTTATCTCTTAGTTTTTGTGAAGAAAGCAGTTTCTGAGAGCTGAGTACTACAGATTTTTTTAGTTTTTACCGACTAGTGTGACTTAACAAAATGCCTCGATTTCGAAGACGTCCAAATTATCACCATGTTAGCGACTTTGACAGGGGTAGAATTATTGCCTATCGCGAGATTGGCCGCCGTGTTAATTGTACTGCAATGACGTTAATGAGTATGTGGATAGAAGAAGGTAGAGGAACACGAAGAAGGCCAACTGGTCCACCGAGGCGTCAAGGTAGGCGCTTTAGAAAAATAGCCCTACGAGATCGTTTTGCTACTACGCGCCAGATCGCTGACCAATGGTTTGGAGAAGAAGGTAGACCTGTTAACATGCGTACACTCTATCGCCGCATTTAAGCCTTTGGACTTTTTTCATATCGTCCACGGATAGTGCTTCCTCTGACTGCAGACCACTGTCGCAAACGTTTGAACTGGAGCAGAGAACGGCAACATTGGGAGCTGAATAGCATAATGTCATCTTCAGCGACGAATCGAGATTTGGTCTAGGTACGCATGATGGTCGTAGGTAAGACGCCGCCGTGGAGAATGGCGTGATATTAGATTTGCTGCTAAGAGCCATGTTTATTACTATTGGAGTAAGGGTTTGGAGGGCTATTTATTGCCTTTAGTAGTTGCGCATCCCTTCTCTTTGTTCAAGGCAATATGACTGCTGCGAGTTATATTGATAATGTCCTATAAACTACTTTACTGCCGTATCTAGATGGCCGTCCACATCTCCTTTTTCAGCAAGACAACGCACGTCCGCATATTGCTCGTCGCACTACGGACTTTCTTCAAGAAGCAGGCGCTAATGTTTTTCCGGATTTAAATCTCATCGAACATGTGTGGGATGTGATGGGGAGGAGACTATCCACTATGCACCATCCGCCACAGACTCTGCTACAGCTAATCCACGAAGCTCGTGTTGATTGGAATGACGTGCCACAACCAGACATCGATCATCTTATATTGTCGATGCCTAGACGTGTACAGAAGTGTACTCAGCTGCGGGGTCGCCCAACACATTAATTTTTTTTCCAACCATAACCAACCGAATGGTGGTGGTGGATGTGTTATTCTTTTTAGCAATCGTCAGTACGCTTTTGCTTTTGTTTATGCTTGCTTGCATACTACGTCAATGCATTGTGCGACGATGGGATGGCTATGTGGTGGACGGCCTTCTCCTGCTTGTTAGGAGCAGATCCTATCATTCATGCCAGAAAACTGGGTTCCTGCTACCGTACGTAGAGTGTCGGTAGTACTGCGATTAGCGAGCTACTTATAGGTGGCAGTGTCAACTTTATACTCGTAGTTCACAAATATCTTTTCAAGCAAATTACAGGTCCACCATAAAATTTTGTTGGATGATTTTGATTATCAATTTCTGTTACTCTGAGAAAAGGTTATAATGTATAGTATTAGTTTGTTATTTCATATTATTACCATCTGAATTACTACATACAGTGTGCACATGCAAACATAACAAAAAAGTTCCTATAAAAATAGGTCTCGTTAAGGAGACATGGGGAGATGAAGTTATATTTACGAAATTGGAAAAGAATTATATTTACAGACCACTAAAGAAACACACTGTTTCCCGGCTGAAATTAAACCAGTAGAAACCGCTAATATCAAACGTTTTTCGGAGAACAGAAGTGTATGTTATAAAATACCATTCAATTCTCCATACATTTTTTCAATGAATTTTCATCAGATTACTCGTTTTGGAGATATTTAGGTTTGAACATTTCAGGTTGAATCCTGAAATATTTTTATAAAAAGGTTTTGTCTCCCCTATACTGAAAACACCATGGAGCTTGATGATGTAAACACTATATGGCGTGTAAAGGAAGCTATAGAACTTCATTATAGATGTTATTTAATAAATATATACGAGGGGGTACCCAAAAATAACCGAAATAGCATTGCAGTGGGCCGAGCTTGTGTGGTACACATTTTTGCCCCTAGAGGCGTACAGCGCAACTCATTACCAGTTCAGTGCCACCTGAGTTCCTCTGTAGTCATTATTTTTGCTAAAGCTGTTTCGTGCTTGTTTCGATTTTTACGATGGTTAAGCTTCAGAGAGCACCGTGAAGCTGTGAAATTTTGTTTTCTAATGGGTAAAAATGCTGCTGAAATTGCTTTAATGTTGAAAATAGCTTACAAAGATGATGCTGTGGGAAAAACTCCGGTGTACGAGTGGTTTGCTAGATTTAAAAATAGCGACATGTCGATCATCAGTGACAAACCTCGCTTTGGACGTCCGTCAACTGCCAGAATCGACGAAAATGTTGAAAAAATTGCTTGTGCTATTTGTGGCAGTCAGGAGACTGGTTCTTCCACCACGATAATCCGCCTGCGCTCACAGCCATCTCTATTTGACAGTTTCTGGCTAAAAATGGCATGATTCCGCTGCTTCACGCACCTTATTCGCCTGACCTGGCTCCATGCTGCTTTTTCTCATTTCCACGGATGAAAAGGGCATGAAAGGACGCCGCTTTGATGACCTTGAAGAGGTTAAGGAAAAAACGAGGGAGGAGATGTCATACATTTCTAAGGAAGACCTCAAAAAATGTTTTAAGCAGTGGAAGTGCAGGTGGGACACACGTGTATTAGTTGTAGTGGACAGTATCTTCAAGAACATAAGGTTACTGTGAAAAAGTTGAAAATAGTTGTTTCATGGTACCTTTTCTGGGCACGCCACTGGTTTTGCCGACATGGTGATTTTTATTTACAGACAAAGAAGCTCCAAAGCGAAGAAAACGTTTATTTCAAAAGTAAATAAAGCTAATAAAAATTAACCACGACAACAATAACATTACGTTTGATACAACTTTCGTGGTTATTTTCAAATTTATGAGGACATAACATTGGGAACAAAAAATAATGCTTGAAAGTGGATTCCATACAAGCCCGTGCTCTACGCCACAAAGACTTTGTGACTATGTGAAAATGCCCGGCGTTGAACGATTAGCGTTGTGTACTTCGTGGTCATACTTCGTGTCCGAGGTTGTTAATGATTTGTGATATCTTCTTTGTTGAGTTCACTTAATGCGAAATGCCAAAGATTTTTAAGAATAAAAATGCTAATAATTTGAAAAGTAAAATAATAAGAATTTTACTCAAATTGATGTGTCCCAATCAATTGTAATTTTGGACAAATAGAAAGAATATGGTTAATACCAGGAGAAGTATACCATGAAAATCGGTGGCTTGCATAGACACGGTTTACTGTATGGTAAGCTGTTACGCTACTGATTGATGATAAGGCACCCATACTATTCAATTATTGGCATATAGTGTTTCCAATATCAAGCTCCACGGAGTTTTCAAAATAGAGGAGGCTAAACCTTTTTTACATAAATATTCTAGGATTTCACTTCAAGTATTTAAACCTGAATAGATATCCAAAACGAGTAATCTGACAAAGATTTCTTAAGAGACAAAATGTATGGAAAACTGCATGGTACTTTATAAAATGCGCTTCTTTTCTTCGAAGGGGTCCAGGTGCACCAGTTTCTATATCCCTCATACAATTTGGGCAGCCAAACATGGCGTGTTAATTTCTCATGATGTGTTTACGGAACGTCTAAAATCCTAACGCAGTATCTTTACTTGCACCGTAGGTATTTATATATT